ATAAGGGCCGAATAAACAATATTTTAAAATATATATTGTTTATATACAAGAAAAATTACGAGCTCATTTATTTCTTGCTAATATTAAAGTATCATAAGTGCTAGCACGGAAATCACGATGTTTCATTATCTTTTATAGATTTTTGCAACGATTTCAGTGTTTTGTGAAAGGCTACAATCATTAGATATAATCTATTTGTTTTCCCATTCGTTCGCTTAAAACGAATAATATATAACATAGATTATGTTGGGTGACATTGAACACTGAAAATATAGATTGATTAATATTAAGATTATGCTAGTTGTTGTATGCCGCAGAGACTTTCACCTGCTGCTTATATTTTAGAGCATGCAAAATTTGCTACAAGCAAATATTTCAATAAATAAGCAGGGGTTGCTTGCATGCGTATAATGAGAATACGATCTTGTGAATTATAATTAAACACGGCTTGTGATGTCTTTTAAAAAAAATCATCTTTGAGGAATCCAATTCGTTGACTCGCAGTTTTTTCAATGCAGGTCTGTATTGGTTAACTTTAAATCGCACATTAATACGAGGGGTTTTATCTGTTTGCCAAATTAGGTTAGCTATGCAATTACGCATGTACGCGGCGATCACCAAATTTCTAGAATTATTTAGAAAATCACGAAATTGGTTTGTCGAGATTTTCTAGAACCAATTATTCTTGAAAATTTTCGCTTGAGCTAAAAGGATGAAAATTTTCTATTTAAGCGTGTGCACCTTGTGCACGGTATGATAATAAAATTAGTCATACATCATAAGACCATTCATTTGAAATGCAAATATTTTGGACATTTATTTTTTTCATTGAAGAGAATCACAAACAATACAATTTCACTAGCTATTGTTTCTACAAGATTAATATGCGCAGAAGATACCCTGACCTAAAATAGTTGCAATAATCTAAAATGACAGGCCGTTTGAGGCTTATTTATGGTAAATAAAACGAGGAGCCATTACTTTTTCCTGTGCCTGATGTTTTATTTTATCTTAATTAACATTTCGCGCGTAGTAGAAACATTACGTTTTAGTTACATCTGATATGATACGGTACTTTCTAAAGACGAATGTTTTTATATATTCTTGGGTAATTGCGTTGTATTAAATCATTATATTACTATTGATTTTCGGTGTTGTATTACTATTGATTTGTGTACGCATTAAGTGTTCATGCATATATAATGTTAATACGTGTATATAGGATAATGTAACAATGCATTCCAAAATGTATAAAGGTCTTATCTACGTATTATTTAATGTACGTATTGGAATCCTGGTTATTATTGGTATCCCATTTTTGCTAAATACAAAAACCAATAATAAAACATTCTAAATTTCTGGGAAAGAAAACACGAAGAAGATTGAGTAGATTGCAACTAGACGATTTTGCACCAATGTATTTATTTTTGATTTCTTTGGTTCGTCATTTTAAGGAGCATCGTGTGTGGAAAACCGCCATCGAAGTTCATCGAAAATCGCAAACTTAATAAAATGGTAAGAATGGTGATGTAACAAAAACGGTAATTTCCCCCAAGATTTATACCATTTTGATTTGTCATCAAAGAAACGTCAGAATATGGGATTTTTAGAGACTCGGGATTGAAGACATTAATAGATTTCTAACATCCTGTAGGATTTAATGCACCACAATTTATTATATGCCATTTTAATGTTCGTTGCTCATTTTATGGTGACATTTAATTAAGAAATGCATTTTCATTGTTAATTACTAATGTTAGAATGCAATGCGGATGAATTTGTTTTGAAGTTGCCTATCTTAATCGATTCTTCGAATCGTCTTCTTTAAAAGGGGTTTCTGTTGGTTCTACGTGCCTAAATGACAAAAGCTGTGTTGCTGATATGAATTGCTAAAATACCTTTAATTTTTCATCTAGCATTTTTGAAGCAGAAAACCCGCATGAGCCCATTCACTGAATAGTAGCACAACATTTGTGGCTGATGCATTAACCTTCATTTTAATAATGATTAATTACCGTTACCTAGCACCAGAAAATATCCTTAAACAAGTATAATAAGACAATTGTTCCACAAACTTTTTGGCGGGAAATAATCGCTATATAATCGGTGATAAATTACAATGCATATTCTTATTACATAAGATACAATAATATACTGTAACTTGTTTTTTTTGAAAACGATAAAAATCCAACAAATTCCTGTGAGCAAAAAACTTGCTCTAACTAGTTTTTTGTTTCGCAGTTTATTCATTATTTTATTATCGTTACTATTAATGAATGTATTCAATTTTTTTATCCCCCAATAAAACAGTCCATCCTTACTCATTATAATAATCATTGTTTTACATAGAAGCTTTTCTTACGACCCATAAGATTTAACGGATAGTCAAAAAAATTTTCACAATCTTAATTTTCTTTTTTACGACATCAATTTTAACTTTTTCCCTCTTTTGAATTTGGAATACCTTTTTTACTCTCCTAAGTCTTCGACAGATAACACACGAATTATGAATACAGTTGGAAAAAGACTTGCTTCCGGTCAAAATGAATCGGCTCCGAAAGATAAACGGCACAAAACCATTGCTTGTGATAGATGTCGCAGGAGAAAGGTGAATTTTGAAACGTTGATACGTTTTACGACGATTTAAAATCAATTAAGGCGATGCTTACAGGGTTCTCGTCGTCCTACGAAAAAATATTTTATACACTGTTTTTCGACGAAAAATCCTTTTTTTATGAGAAAAGAAGTCTAAGTGCTTCAGTGATCCGCTTATTGATTAAAGATTTTAGTGAATATTAAATTAAATCATTGTTTTTTTGGTAGGTCCGATGCGACGGCGACGGTTACAATCAGGTTCCATGTGTTTATTGCACGTCGGTTCAGCTGGAGTGCACATATAATCAAAGTTCTAGAAGCAATAGTCGGAATGTGAATTCTGGTGCTGCACAGAATTCTTCAAAGTCAGATTCAGCTAATGCAAAAAATCAAGATCAAACGACCACAAATAATGCGTCGAAATCTAATAATAGTACAAAACAGAGGACCACAAATGCACGTCGAAACAATTCTGTGAAAAGTCAAACATTAGTGACAGCATCATCCTCTTCAAACTCTTTTAATCCCAATGAGTCGATTCAACCCAAAAGAATTATTCCACAAAGTCTTCCCTTCTTGGATACACGAAACAATGAATTTTATTATGCAGTTCAACTTTTAACAGAAGTAACGAGCCAACATAAAGGTGCAGTGCTTCGAGAACTCAGCCCATATATTTCTGTTCCCCAAGAGGAAAAACACCCTCCACCTCCTCAAGATTCCAATGAAAATCAATGGTCCGAATTAACTGAAAGTCTCGTGAATCTTTATTTTCTTAATTTTCACCCATTACTCCCAGTCTTGCATAAAGCATATTTCATGGAGGGACTAAAACGCCATAAACCAATGAATCCATTGCTGTTACATGCTGTGTGTGCGATTGGTTCTACTTATTCAAATAACCCAAACGTAAGAAAAGATCCCGACGATCCGAGAACTGTCGGTCAAGGTTACTATGAACACGCACAAGGTAAGCAATTATTCGATTAATGAAATTCTTCATAAAAAAAAAGTTGCTGATTAATTATAAAAAAACCAAAATTTCATTATCTTAGCTCTTGTTACCAAAAACTTTGACGCACCACGTTTGTCTACAGCTACTGGATGTTTCTTACTGGGTATATTTGATGCATTGAGAAGCTTGAAGAGTAGGATGTATGTTGGAATGGCAACTACTTTGGCCATTACAATGAGATTTCATGATAAAAATGCATCGAAAGATTTATCTCAAAATGAAAAAGAAGCTCGGATTAAGGTTAATATTTTTATTGCAAAAGTTAAACGTTTCACTTCAGATTAAAGTAAATTCAGAGTTAATAATCATTATTTATAATAGTTATGGTGGGCTATTAATATCGTAAACCATCTTACTTGCGTTGCTCTTAATCAACGTTCAATCTTTGAAGATAAACACAGCACAATCGATTTACCAGCGGACACACAGTCAACGAATCGTCAAGATCAAATTGAGACACATATCAACACATATTTCGAATATTACTCCAAAATCTCAAAGATTCTGTATGACATATTGGAATTCACTTTGAACCCCGAAAGTGCATTGGATACAGCAACTTTGGAGTTGGAAGAGAGATTGAGAAACTGGAAAGATTCTTTGCCCACATTGCTCCAGATTGAAAATGCACAACCATTGACCTCAAGCTCAGATGAAACCACAATCGAGCATCTGCGCATCTATTTGTGCATTTTGTATCATTATGCAATGATTCGAATTCATTATCCAAATATTTATTCGAAGAATAGCAAAGATATATGCAGTGATGCTGCAAACAGAATCACCACATTCACCAATGAGCATTTAGTTTTCATCATCAATAGCAATCAATTTATCGCTCATTGTGCATTGTATGCCGGATATATTCATCTGCGAAATATCATTGATGAAGAATCCAATAACTTGATAATGGCCAAAGAAGCACACGCGAAGGCATTACAAACAATGATATTCTTTCAGAAAGTAGAACAAGTTCCTTCATTGCATTTCATAAGTTCTGCCATGAAAGACGTGATTGCTATTTTCGCTTCGCAGTTGAGAAATCATTTAACTGGTGATGAACATGCGATGCATATTGTGAATGCTGTTTTGGCTAATAGTGGGACTTCATCGCCTTCTGCATCACAAATTAATAATAATGCTACCGGTTATATCGGCTCAAATTTTCTGAAGAACTGAAAAAATTCCAAGTTATTTCATTTTTAATTCTGTTTGTTTTGATTTAGTTTATCTAAAAATGGATATAAAATTAATCTAAAATACTTTGGTTTGCAATTTTATTAATTCTTTACATAATAGCCGAAAAGAAGATTTTAAAATCACTTTTTTTTGCTTTTTTTTCTTTTTGTATTTTAGAGAAGGTATCCTCATCTTTCTTATTATACCAAAAAAACTTCCGCTTATGATATATTCAATATCATAAAGTTGGAATTGGTTTTAATTTACATTGTATTTCTTCTTCATGCTTTTTAATTCATTCATATAAATTATCATAATAATACTATTATACATTTTATCTCATAATTATTAATTACACATTTTATCGTAATATCTTATCGCTATATTTTATCGAAGATTTTATCGTAATTATCATTCTTACTTATTCACTACAATTGCACATACTTTTATTATCCTGTTAAAAATATACAAAAGTTGGTTCTTTTGCTCTATTCTGTTCATGAGAAAGTAGTATTCATTGTCCTCTTTTCTACTTTCCATAAAGTTCGTTTTGTTCTATCATTTCACTTTGTTCCTTTTGTTCGAAGGTTGTCTCCTTTATTATATTCGTCCGATTATTCATGCGTTATTTCCCTTGTAACCACTTAGTAAAAAAATTAACTCTCTTAGTTTCTTGGTTTTTGTATAAGAGTTTTAATTATTTCTTGAATCCAGTGTTTCTTTAACCCAGCCGCTTCTTATCTACACTATTCAAATATACGCAGCAATTTATTATACACTCACTATTCAGTTTATTTAGATTATTACTTTTATCACATAGTTTGTTTTCCTTTATTGATTACTGAAATTATTCACATATTATTTGTCTTTCTCTATTGATTATCGAAACTCATTTTTATGCCATAAATATGATAAAAAATTTCCTATGAAAAATATTAAATCCTTGCTGATTTATTTTTTAAATTAAAAAATTAAGTAACCACAAGTTCTATGCTTACACGTTTCAATCGATGTGCTAGAGTCTATAAGTTTTGGGGTTTAGCTTGAAAAACCAAAAAAAGACTGCGCAAGTTCGTAAGTTCGTGAATTCGTGTCGTTAAAAACAAACATTCGCACGTGAAAATATTATATCGTGTATTTTTCCGACTCTATTCTGATCGCACATGGCCTGTCAACTTTAATTTTCCTTTTCAAACAGACACGTTTATGACGCCATTTAAAGTGAATATAAATTCGGTGTGTCACATTGTCGAAAAAGATGACAGTTCCGATGTCTTGTCATAAGAATATTACTCGATTCCATGAGATTCTTTTCGATAAGAATTTTATTTTCAGATTTGCTAGTCGTGATACCAAAAAAACTCATTCTTGAAATAAACAAGCGCATTTCAGTTGCAGCCTAGCGGCAAAACAATAATTAATACATTATTGACATAAAACACCAGTATCGTTTATTGAAAAAATAATCGATGCTTAGTAAAATGCAAAAGGGTATATGAAGTCACAAATAACATACGAGAAATAATGAGCAGAAGCGCTCGAAGACTCTTATGCCGAGAATCCAAGAATCTTTATATTTATTAATTGGTATTCTCATGTGGAGAGTCAACCTGCTTGTACATGTTCAAAGAAGAAAGCGACATTCATTCGGTATTGGCACGAAAGGCATGCGTGTACACAATCTATTTTTGCCGCTAACAATTACTTAATCGTAAATACCAGAATAACTAATTAAAAAGACAAATGAAAGACACAAAGAATGTTATTCCAATCGGAAATCTGATTGATATGTTTGTCGGCTGCTCTGCATATATAGAAGATTGCCCGAGATCAGAGATTTTGTGCGACTGTTTACACATACAGCGCATATAAGGAAACAATGTAGGTAAATGCAACGTTTGGTTCGAGCGCGAGATTGCAAAAACTGGTTTAATATTATTATTTTTAATTCTTGAAAACTATCAATTGAGTTTCTAAAGAGAAAACGAATCCATGCTTAATCAAATAAAGAAAGTACCGCTTATAAGAATTCTAACTCTCTTTATAGTGCATCAAAAAAAATCTATTAGTAAAAAATTTCGAAATCCACTACATCGAGCGTTTATTGTTTTTTGCCGGGTCAATATCAAGATTAAATAATAGTGGAAAATGCAACTTTGTCATTTTTTTGCCTCGATTTTAGCCCAGGTAAACAAATCTTTTCGACCAGCGTTAGTATCGAACAGAATTTATTATAACTAATTTAAATATTAATTCACTATATCGAGAGTTTGATTGGTCTCCACTATAAAGGAGGTCCACCATGAAGAGTGTAACTGTGTATTCGAAATTTCCTATCAACTAAAAGAC